TCTTGAGTTCGTAAGAACTTCCCTTCGTAGGGATTTTTTCTTCCTCATTGAAAAGCTTGCCGATGAGATTTTCTTCTACTTCTGCCATGTCGACGGTCGAGGAGGATAGTCCGGCGGTCGATGTCGGTGATCCGGCGGAAGACAGGCTTGAACCGGCGGAGGACGGTGATGGACCGTCGTATGTCTAGATTAGGGTTTTTCCCTAGGAATCTTGCTCCGATACCATGTAGAATTTGATAAGAGGGAAAAAATATTCTGTATATTGAATTGTTCTCCTAAGTACAAGGAGTTTCTCCTTTATTTATAGGAGAGGATAAAGACCAAAACACAAAAGGAATTCTATTCCTACAAGGAAACAAATCACTAAATATGAACAAGGAAACAAATCAAGAGCAATCCCACTTAGAATGGGATTTGCTCTCCTTCTTGCCGTGTGGTCCAAGGAGCACCGCCCAACAACATGCAACCGAAGACCTTTGTCACTCAGGCATTATAGTGGCATGGTATCATTCATGGCATGAAGCAAATAAAGAAGTCCCCAAGGTGGCAGTGACACAAACATCATACCCCAACCGATGGGAACCACCAACTTTAGGGGCTTTTAAGTGCAATGTTGATGCAAGGACACACATATGACTAGAGTGGGCATGGTGATGCGTGATAGCAATGGATGTTTCCAGAAGGGAACGTCTCGAGGTTTAAGGTAGGTGGAGGATGCATGCATGACGGCGGCGATCGGGGTGCGAGAAGCACTCAGCTCGCTCAAAGAATTCTTCGGGGACCGGATAATCACGTTGGAGATGGACAACCTAGACACTTTATCTTTCACTCCATGCGGGGAGGAAAATTTTTCGTACTTTTCAGGTTTGGTTTTTTTATTGTAAAGCGTTGATGTTAGAGTTTCATTCCGTCTCCTTTGTCTTTTGTTTGTAGATCTGCGAATCAGGTAGCTTAGTTGTTGGCATGAGCTTTTGATTCTATTTCTGATCTATTGGAGTGGGATGCCACCCCTCCTATACGTTCATTTGTGATATTCTACAAATGGAGTTGAGAATTTAATGATAATATTTCTTTGATTTCAAAAAAAAGTTATGATGCATTCATAAATTATATATTTCTTACTTTTGAAATATTTTATTTAACTTATTTGTATAATTATTCAATTGAAATTTATTTTTTATCATTTTAAATTGTCCTTAACAAAATTTATTGGGAAGTTTTCCTCGGACCAATCAGAGCCAACAAGTATTTTTTACTGATCCACCACTATCCAACATTCAGCTATGTTTTTCTCAACACAAAAACACAAACTCGTAATAGAAAAGTAATTATTCATTTCTTTCATAATCTTATAGTTAAGAATTTTTTAGAATATGAATAGAAAAACATGTGAGTCACGAGAGATAAAGTTACTCGTTGTGTTTATACTAAAAGTTGTTCTTTCATGGTTCTAAAGTCCACACGTAAAATGTGGAGCATCTTACACTTTTTATTGGCTTACAACTGGTTTTTTCTTGTTTTCTAAAACATCCAATTTTTTTGATATCAATATACTATGATCTATAAAATGAGCATGAACCTTAGGACCATAGTTAGTTTTGAAAGGCAAAAGGCAAAATAAGCATCACTATTTTCTCGATTTTCAAAACTTATTTATAAAATCTCTGTGATTTAAAAATGTTGCACATACACATCCTCTGATCATTTCCTGGCCATTTTCCGGCAAAAATGGGGCATTAGAGCATGTTTTCCAACCACATGGGCACTAGAGCTCATTTCATATTTTTCATTTATTTTCTGGTTTTTTTCCTTTTTCTCTCTTTGTTTATTTCTGAATAGACATTTAAAAAAAAATCATAATGTTTTAAAATTAAAAACCATTTGTGTTTGAAATAAAAAATAAATGAAATGATTTTTTTAAAAACATATATTGCAGATGTCTCAAATTTCAAAAAGTTATTTTTTTTGTTTTCCAAAATAAAAAGTAAAATTTTTTTGGAACTTCAAAATATGAGGAATAGAAAAAGGAATTAAAAGAAAAGCAAAAAAAAATAGAAAAAGAAAATGAAATAAGAAAAACATACAAAAAATATTCTTATAGAAAACTGAAAATGTATTCATGAAGTGCATTGATAAGTTTTATTTTTTGGAGTCCTCAAAAAAGTAATTTTTTAATATGTTGGGTTAAGAATTATTTGGACCAGTGCCCGGCAGATTCAAAAAATTAAAATTGAAAGAAGTCATCTATAAAATAATAATTATAAAAGTAACTTGATTTGGGAATCTCAATTATAAAAAATTTTAGACTTCTAAAAAAGAAACCTTATTTGTGCACTTTGTAGCTACGTTTTCTTTTTTAAGAGTATTTTTGTATATGTTATTTTTTCATTTTATTTACTTTTTAAATTGAGATAGATAAAGTATATGTTATTTTTTTATTTTATTTATTTATTTCAAAATCAAAAAATTTTTTAATTTTAAAATGTTATTAAAAACATTTAGAAAAGGATTTAAAAAAATATTTTTTAAAAAGATATAAAAAAGGAAAAAATAAAAAAATTAAAAGAAAATGGAAAATGAGTTCTGTTGCCCCTCATGGTTTGAAAAATAGGTACATATACCCCTATTCTTCGGAAAATAATCAGAAGGATGTGTGTGCAATCTTTTGAAACGGTAAGGGTTTTATTAATAGTGGTGTGCTTGGTGAACAAAAGAGACATGAGTTTTGATATTTCCTAATATCAGAACCATGTGTTTAGTGTTTGGTGAAGTCAAAAGAAATATGAAATTTGATATATTATAATATCATAAATCTCCCAAATGGAGGGTTTTGATATCTCTTGAATTTGAGAGATACTAATATTGGGGTTCGATATCTCTCTCAACCGTTGATAATTTTTTGCCACCCCACCCCGGCTACCATTATCACCGCCAACCACTCCCGTTGTCGGTCACCCCGTTCTATCACTAAAACTTTTATGATTTTAGATCTCTCGAAACAACTTCGTTTTATATTTTAAAAACTCATATCATTTCTTCCAGAATTTAAAACTCTTATCTTATCACACCTCTAAAAATAACCAACGGACCCCTTACGTTTTGAAAAGAGAGAGTACATTGATGTCAATTTCTTAAACCATAGAGGATATTGAAATTATTAGGCTTAGTTTATAGTATATCTTCCTAGTTCACATAAACTCACACCATATAAATTTATTTTTTAAATTGTGTGAAAATCAAACAAAAAGTTTCTTGTAAATTTATCTTTTGAAAGGAACAAGTAATCGTACCTAGTAGTAAGTAAAGAGAGGTTGAAATTTCCTTGCATGAGTGGAGTGAATGTTTTCAATCAATTTGTATCCCCATTTCCCGATACAAAAAAAGAGTGGACATATGACTCATCATAAGTAAAGTGGAAGTCAAAAAGTATGGGAGAGAGGGTCCTTCCCCGCCACCACTTGGCTCTCGCCTTCGCCTATATATTTGGAATGAATTAATGAGAGATTCCGAGAACACAAGAGTGAATTGTGACCGTCTTCCCTCACTTGTCTCTCTGTTTCGTAAAGGCCATCAATTCCCCCCCATAATAATAATAATAATAAAAAACCCAGCGAGGAGGCAACTTGCTCTTCTTCCCCCCTTTCATCATCTGTCAGCCCTCATCACACAGGCATTAAATATTTAAATATCTGATAGGCTTGCTTTGCTTTGCTTTGCTTGGGATCCATAATATATCCATGGAGCAGAAGAGCTTGCTCATATCCGCTCTGGGCGTAGGCGTCGGGGTGGGGTTGGGTTTGGCGTCCGGTCCGGCCATCGGCAGATGGACGGGAGCTGCAGGCGCCGCCGCCAATTCAGCTGCCGGCGGCGTTACCGCCGACCAAATCGAGCTCGAGCTCCGGCGACTTGTCCAGGACGGCAAGGATGCCGACGTGTCTTTCGATAACTTCCCTTACTACCTCAGGCAAGCCACCTGGCGGCGTTTTAGATCCTCAATTTCTTTGTATTGTAATTTTTCAGCTTCCCCTCTGATCCTGAGTCCTTCCTCGCTGATCCAAATTTTCCTTCTTCTAACTTTTATTTGCATATAGCAATTTTCTTTTGGTATTCGAATGGAAAATGTTTCTAAAAAGTTCTTTGGTTAAGTGATTTAAGTAACCCTCCAGATCCCTACGTTTCCACAGAGTTCTTGGTATTCGTCTTCTTGCTTAAAGGCATAGTATTTAATGGTTGCTGGAGACCATGTCTCGAAGTGTTTTTGGAAACATTAAGTGCATTTCCGATCCATATATGCCTATTTTATTTGCATCAGTAGTAGTGTATTCATGTTTTGCTGCGCGCCTAGCTTTCATTTCATGTTGGTTACTAATTTGCAGTGAAAGGTTGCGGGAGTTACTGACCAGCGCAGCGTATGTTCATCTGAATCACATGGATATGTCTAGACACACTCAAAATCTCCCGCCCGCTAGTAGGGCGATATTGCTCTCAGGGCCTGCTGGTATGTATGACTCACTCTCCTACACCAAGAGCTAACTTGGGGCTTTGTGACTATCTATTCATTTTCTTCTCGCCAATGCAATATGTTTGCAGAACCTTGCCAGCAAGCTCTTGCAAAGGCTCTTGCTCATCATTTCAGGGCAAAATTACTACTACTTGATGTATCCAACTTTTCGCAAAAGGTTATGAATTCTGTAACATAAATTCTTTTTCAGCTGCCAGTGTCCTATTAGGTCTATTTACTCGTACTTTCTATTAAAAGTCGGGTGGGCCGAGAACAATGGGTGGAGTGTTGGTTAAAGTTAACCACTTGCATATAAAAGTCGGGATCCACAATTAACCCAAAAGCTTAAGCAGATGAGTAGGGCTTCACCCTTCTATATATGCTAGGGGTATTTCTTTTTATTTTCCAATGGGGGAACTCTAACAAGCCCTCTCAAGTGGTAACTAGCCTTAGCCTGACCTAGTTAGCACTTGGACAAATGGGTTTAGCATCTCAATCTCTTTATAGCTAGCCCACACAACGGGGATGGCATCTCAATCTCTTATAGCCAACTCAACCCCAACCACAAACGGGTAGCTCATTATCGTTAAACCCACGTCCAAACAACCAGAAAGAATCGAACCAAACCTGCTTTGATACCATGTCAAGGACTCAAGGAACCAACTCAACCAAGAGCTCAAGGTTGTGGTTGTGGCCCATGAAAGATTTTTATTCTCTGACACTTTCTTTTTTTTGTTTTATGGGCTCATTGTCTTCAGGTACAAAGCAAGTATGGCGGTGGCATCAAAGGAGAGCCTGTAAGCAATTATAATCAACAGTTTTCTTTTCCACTCTCATTTGTGTATATTAGTTTTTTGAGTTAGAAAGAAACTTTGCACTTCATTTTCTTTATGCTCTACAAATTACAGGCCATCTAACTAGCATGTTACAATCTTATCAATTTCTATCTTTACAGTCCATCAAGAGGTCTCTGTCAGAGATGACACTGGGATATGTGTCCAATCTGCTTGGTTCTTTCTCAATCCTTCCAGGAAAAGAAGGTAGTGGAGGTAGATTAAAAGCCATGCCATTCCTAAAATACTACATTTATACTTTTTATAAATGTTTGTGTTTCACCTTTCAGGCTTACTAGTACCTAGGCAAACCAGTGGGGTTGATAACAAATCAAGGTATTTTTTTGTTCTACGCATAGATGAACATAGTATTATATGGGTTCATGGATCAATTCTAACCTTATTCTCTGGCTTCATAGGAATGCTGAAGCTTCAGAAAACACTCTAAAGCATCGCAGAAATGCCTCGATCTCTTCCGATATGAGTACCATCAGTTCACAAGCCTCAATTGCTACTTCAGGTTGGATATGAATAGATGTACTTCCATGTTCAGGTGTAGCATGCATAGAGTTAAAATTCCAGATAAGTAGTTGAACAGAACAAAAGATTGTGCAGAATGAACTATAGATGCCATTATGTACACATTGTTCCAAGTGCAAAACAAAAACATTTGGTCTGCTTGGGAACTTGGATTTGGATTTCAAATCTAAATTTAATTCGAAGTACGTGCTTGGGAATCCAAAAATTTTAGAATTGGATTCGTGCCAATTTCTCTATTTCTCAACAAAGCTCAATTACAAATCCATGCACTCCCCATTGTAATTTGAAATCGAAGAGTTCAAATTTTAGAATGAAATCAAAGTTCAGAAGCACTACCTTGTGTTATTTAACACAGTTATCTTATGAGTCCTCTTTTGAATTCATTAGCTCCTATCAGACGACATAACAGCTGGACATTTGATGAAAAAGTTCTCTTGCAGTCCCTTTACAAGGTAATGAATCTATTTCTTCTCCCAAAGTTACTGCATGGATTTCTTTTGCTCGTAGTTACATGTCTTAAATGCCGTTAACAGAGAGGAGGTGTGATTTTCAGGTTATGGTTTCGATCTCAGCAACTGAGTGCATCATTCTCTACATCAGGGATATAGATAGACACCTTCAATGTCCAAGGTTTCACAAGCTTTTTGAGAGAATGCTGAAGAAACTATCAGGACCGGTCTTGGTTCTTGGGTCTCGTATGATAGAGCATAATGACGATAGTGGTGAACTTGATGAGAAAGTCAGTCTATTGTTTCCATACAATGTTGAGATAATACCACCTGAAGATGAGACTCGCCTTATAAGCTGGAAGTCCCAACTGGAAGAGGATATGAAGAAGATCCAGTTTCAGGACAACAAAAATCACATCTCGGCGGTACTTGCTGCAAATGACATTGAATGTGATGATCTAGGGTCAATCAGTCAAGCGCACATCCTGCTCTTGAGCAACTACATTGAGGAAATTGTTGTTTCTGCAATATCATATCATCTGATGCATAACAAGGATCTAGAATATCGAAATGGAAAGCTTGTTATATCATCCAAGAGGTAGTTGCTAAATTCTCTTGTGCTGTTAAGCCTGTTATAATAATAATAATATTAATAATAATAATAATAATAATAATTGGCACATGGTCTCTTAGTCTGGTTGCATAAATGTTCTTGTAACTGCAATCTCCATGGAACAGTTTGTCCCGTGGGTTAAGCATATTTCACGAAGGAAAGAATGGGCACAGAGGCTCTCTCAAACTGGAAACAAATGCTGATTCATCAAAGGTGGGTATTGCATCTTGGCGTTCTGCATTTAAAAGTATATGTTTTTATAGTAGGGCGTGATGGTATTAAATTGTATGTTATTAGGATACTGAAGGGGAAAAGTCTGGAGACCCTGAAAGTAAAAGTGAAATTGAAAAACCAGTGAAAAAGGATGGTGAAAATGCGCCTGCAGCAAATGCCCCTGTAAGCTTAGTTTTTAAGCTTTAAATGCGTCTTATCCAACCCTTACTAAATGACAATCATATCATTTTACCCTCAAAGTTTCTAGTAATTGTAACTTTGGTCATATATATAATCTTTCACTAAGTATAATTTCATCCAATTTAATTGTACCCGGATTGATTTAATCAAATTTTAAATGCTCTGCAGTATAAGATATGAGACTAGCATTGCGGACACAGTTCTACTAGTATGTACAGCTTTATTTCCTCAATGATATTTAGTTGAGAAACCATGTCTTAATCTTAGCTTTGGTTTCCTCAGGAAGTTCCTCCTGATAATGAATTTGAAAAGCGGATTAGACCTGAGGTAATTCCTGCAAATGAGATTGGGGTGACTTTTGAAGATATCGGCGCCCTGGATGAGACCAAGGAATCACTTCAAGAACTGGTTATGCTTCCTCTTCGGAGACCTGACCTCTTCAATGGTGGACTGCTTAAGCCCTGCCGGGGCATATTACTGTTTGGTCCTCCCGGTACTGGAAAAACTATGCTGGCAAAGGCAATTGCCAATGAAGCTGGTGCAAGCTTTATAAATGTTTCAATGTCAACCATCACATCAAAATGGTTTGGTGAAGATGAGAAGACTGTCCGAGCTTTGTTCACTCTTGCAGCCAAAGTTTCTCCCACAATTATATTTGTGGACGAGGTTGATAGCATGCTCGGGCAGCGATCAAGAGTTGGAGAACATGAAGCCATGCGAAAAATTAAGAATGAATTCATGAGTCACTGGGATGGATTATTAACTAAACCTGGCGAGCGCATACTTGTTCTTGCAGCAACCAATAGGCCATTCGACCTTGACGAAGCAATTATTAGACGGTTTGAGCGCAGGTAACACTCATAATTATGATAAATATGGATTAGAATTTTCCCCTTTATCTAGTTATTATTTTGTGTAGACATTCTTGTTTAGCAGGGTTCTTTTTGTTTTTTTCCTTCTTCCTAGCATTTGATTGTTCTGAAAGTGCACTCTTTTTCGCATTTGGAAACAAAAAGGATATTTAAATATTTTGCCAACCCTACTATATTGGGAAAATAGTTTTAGTTATGGGTCCTAAAGATGAGAAATATCTGTTTTGTGGAGCAGAATAATGGTTGGTCTACCATCAGTCGAGAGCAGAGAAAAGATCTTGAGAACTCTACTAGCAAAGGAAAAAGTAAAAGACATTGATTTCAAAGAGCTTGCAACCATGACTGAAGGGTATAGTGGAAGTGATCTCAAGGTTTGTACTTGAAAAGACTTTATAATGAGTAAGCATGTTATTGTCTGTGACTGCCACTAATGGGCCATTATTGAATGCAGAATTTGTGTATAACAGCGGCTTACCGACCTGTGAGAGAGCTAATACAGCAAGAGCGGGAGAAGGATACGGTACTATATATTAATGATAACCTCATTTCTTTCTTTCTACTCGTATTAGATTTTAAATACGGAGTAATTTCTAATAAGTGGCTCACTTCAGGAAAAGAAGCACAAAGCTGAGGAAGGACAAAGTTCAGAAGATGCCTCTGTCAAGAAGGACCAGCCAGAGGAGAGAGTTATCACTTTGAGGCCTCTGAACATGGAAGACATGAAGCTAGCAAAGAATCAGGTAATTTAACCCCAATTTTGTCTGCAATAATAATTTCCTAAAAGCAAAAGAATATTTCTCAGAGACCAAAATCCAAGAGAAAGCAGCTCTCACTTTAAACAATGTTCATATGAGATTTTGTGGTTAATAACTCGGCCTTGCAGGTCGCCGCAAGTTTTGCTTCGGGGGGATCCATTATGGCTGAGCTCAAGCAATGGAATGAGCTATACGGAGAAGGAGGTTCAAGAAAGAAGGAACAGTTGTCTTACTTCTTTTAGGCACGCACTCATTTATTGGTGTACCATTCTTGTGATGGAGTGATATTTATGATGGCTACCTGCATATATCCCTTGAATCTTGGAGGTCCAATCCCTTTTCACAGGCACCAAATCCTTGGGTTTTGCAGTTCTAGCATCATAGAGATCTGCTGCATCCCATCATATTATGTTGTTTCATTTCATTCATATGCATAGTTTATGCCACTGTACTATATTCAATAGGGAAGTGTAATTGATCCCACCATATGTATTTGGAATTTTATGATGTTAATAGTCTGTTGGGTGTGAAGTCTTCCTAGTCACAATCTAGTTGAATTTGCTGGGAATGTTGTGTGTGAATCCCATACATATGAAGTTGTGCACTTGTGCTAATTAAGTGTTGTGTTTTTATATATATGCTGTGAAATGAAAGGTATTTTTATAAGTTCATTTCTTATTTTTACTCCCTCCCTATCTTTTGTTATCCACCTGTCTTAAAAATAAAATTTATTATCTCACTTTACAATTCACAAAAGTTAGTAAAATAAAAAAATATAGTCAATATTTGTTCATAAAAAAAACAGTGATAATGCCACTCCGTAATGATGCTCCCTTTCAATAATCTTTTTCGACAAGTCCTAAGTTTCGATCATTATTTTTGACTTAAAAGATAGCATTATTAAAGAACCCAATTGCGTGACACTTATAATCCATTGGTTCAAAATATTCTAAAATAAACTTTAAAATTTTTTAATTTTTTAGAACATTATTTGTCTTATACAGAAATAAATTTCAATCACTCAACATTTTTCTTAACACTTTTCATAACCTCGGTAATGTCAAAGTGTCAATTCATGAAGAGAGGAGTTTATATAATTTGTAAAAGTTCGACATAAATATTTATTTTATATGCCACATGTCCTACAAATGAAGTTTCGATTTAATTTTTCACTGTTTCAAAGTGATACTTTAACCATTAACATTTAAACTTATACACATAAATTTTATACAAAATGATAAATCTATAAATCTCATTATGAGCAATTGGGTTACTTCATTATGACATCTGTTAAATTGGTGAGGTTCTATAGCCACTGAATTTCAGTGGCTTCCGAAGTCACTGAACAAATTGGGGCACCTACGGTGCTCTGTTCGCAAAATTGATAGTTCCTACTTCCTACCCCTCCTAATCCCCCTGCAAACACCCCCACCAAGTCCCGACCCCAACCCACCCTCCAACCATGTCAATTGCGGGGTGCAAGTTTAGTTGACTTTGGAGTAAAAAAAATTTACTCCAAAGTCAATTAAACTTGCACCCCGCAATTGACGTGGTTGGAGGGGTGGGTTGAGGTCAGGACTTGATGGGGGTGTTTGCCGGGGAGTTAGGATGGTAGGAACTATCAATTTTGCGAACGGAGCACCGTAACTGTCCCAATTTGTTTCGTGGCTTCGGAAACCACTGAAAACCCGTGGCTATGAAACCCCACCGCAGTTAAATAGCTAGAATAAATACCCTATTGCAAAGCTTTATAAATATAAATTGTCTAAGCTTTGAGTCAATAGAAGGATGTTGACCCCATTGGTAGAAATATGAAGTATGTTAAAAGTGTATTGTAGAGAGAAGTCTACATTTTTTTGGCCAAATAGCATATGCATTGGAGTATTGGGGCACTAGTGCGTATTTCTATTTTTTTATTTTTTTTGTTTTCCCCTTTTATCCTTTATTTTTTTCTTTTATTACTCAAGGTTTTTCTAAATTACATTTTAAAATTGTTTTTATAGTATTCTTAAATTTAAAATTATTTTTTTGAAAAATAATAATTAACATATACTGCATCTGTACGTCTCAGATTAAGAGTTTTTATTTTTTCCGAAATAAAAAAGGAAAAACTTTTTTTTAATAAAACTTCAAAAAGTGAAGAAAAAATAAGAAATGAAACAAAACTAAAAAATGAATACCCTTTTTGGACATCCCAATTCTAAAGACATTTTTGGTGTTTTGAAAATTTCTTTTTGCACAGAGTATAAGACTCTTTTTTGCATATTTCAATTTTCTCATTTCATTTTTCCATAGTCTTTTATTTTTTTATTTTGGATTTTCTTTTTGAACTTATTACCAATAATATTATTCTAGAAAACAAAAAGTGAAAATAGTTAATTTGAGATAGATGGAGTGTATGTTGATTTTTTTATTTTTATTTCAAACTAGATTTCATACCCGTGCGATGCACGGCCAATATTTTACTAAATATATTAATATTTATATATTAAGAGTATCTTTAGTGAAGAAATGGTAGAGAAATGTTGATGCAGCTCGGGAAGAATAATTTTTTTTGAAAATGTAAATACAAATTTATGAAGGCAAAATATAAGTATAAATTCACATACAAATAGAATCAAATGGTGAATTACTCTTGGTGTACAAATAAAAATTGCTAGTGTAAATAAACTTCAATATCACCTCAATATGATCTATTAAAACAATGTTATTTACAAATGTAACATCTTTTGATATTAAACTACTTATTAATATCACCTCAAAACTACTATTTTGAGCAACTTATTTGCATTTTGCTATCCTTTCTAATACTCACCCCAAATACTAAGTAACAATAATAGATGTCAAAAGATGATATTGCCCATCTAAGTTTTAACATATTAAATATCATTATTATTCATTCTCATTTATTACACCCTACATCCCAATTAACATACTCCACTCACCATCAACTCACAATGGACACTTGGTTTTATTTTTGTCATTAAAATGTATGAAAAGTCAACTTTGAAATTTTATTCATAGACATAAGAATAGTTGTGAAACTAACCATAAACGAACACAATGTAAGTGCTTTTTGAGCAAAAAGTGTTGAATGTTTCAGTATGTAACATTAATGTTTTAAACATATTGGGAAATTATTTTCTTTGAAATACCAGCTACTTATTTTCAGTTATTGTAAGCTTTAATCACATCGTACTTAAAGACCTAGGTGCAAAACATATTGATTATTCCCAAAAGAAAATGTTTCAGTGTGTAACCATATGAATGTTTTAAATATCAAGCAAATGAAAATAGTATCTTCATATCACATTTAAAGTAGAGCGCAACCTATTAAATATTCATAATTTAAAGGGGATGCAATAAGTTAAAAAAAATCTTTTCTAAAAAATATTTTCATAAAATAGGTGATCCAATAGTTACTAACAGTTATTTGATCCAAATTACAAAATCAAAGCTTAACCTATATGAATAGAGTAATAAAAAGTAAATTAAACAAATCCAATTGATAATAACCAATCATTAAGGCCCAGCAACAATTAAACTAACATAATTGGGTAGTTCTATTCATAGTCTAACAAATTCCTCAAATTCTTACTTTGAATTTTACGAATCTGGCAGCTTTCCCTGATAAAACAAAGCACCAAAAATCAAATTTAGGTGATTGCAAATTAAAAATAAAATCCATTTTTAATAAACTGCAAAACTGGTATGTTTTCATATTAGGTGGGGATAAAGAGAGAGAAAGAAAGGGAAAACTTGGGGTTCAAAAACTTGGGAAAACTTTAGGTTTAAAAATTACGCTGTCAAGCTCATTTTCAACATCTTAATACCAAAATTCTGTCATTTATATATTGTTAATCAGATGCAAACAAATGCAATCAGATTCAAAAAAAGATTCAGGTCATTGAAATCACAAAACTCATTTGTACATCACAAAGCTCATTTCTACATCACCAATCAAAAATATTAGATTTAGTTTGACTCCTTGAGTATATGCAGACCATACCCCTACCTCAAAAGCTCATTTCTCCATCAAGAATAAAAAAAAATTAAAAAAAGGTCAAAATTTTGCTAAGCTTATCACTTTTTTTCTTTGCTTCCCCACAAAGTAAGAAGCTCATTTCTACACCTAGAATCAAAATCAAGAAATAGAAAAGATCAAATTTATGCTAAGCTAATAAGTTTTTTCTTTTCTTCTGCAGAGGAGAAAGCTCATTTGTACATCAAGAATCAAAATAAAGAAATAAAAAGCTCAATTTTCTGCCAAGTTCATCAATTTTCTTCTCTCACATTTGTCAAATACATTTTTTGCAGAACAGAGTGTATATATAATCAATGACAAATTAACAATTGAATTAACAAATATATAATCATGTTGACTTTCATTCAATGGGGTGAAGAAAAAATGGGCAATGGTGCTCTGCCAACTACCACTCGCAAAGGTTGAGGTTTGAAAAAGTGGCACCCGAAAGCAGACATAAACTTTGTATAGAAAATCAATACTAAAACTCAAAACTGTATAATAGCTAAAAGCCGAGGAGGATGATGGTATCAAATGAAATTGTATCTTAATAACCATGTTCCTCATTGTACTTGCTGTAATGATTCTTAACTATTACAATTGAGTTCAATCAGATCATAGTTTTAACTATTGTAATTCAGTGCAATGAGCCAATGAGAGTCATCATGCTAGAAGTGATTAAAGAGACCATAGTTTAAACTATTTTTAAAAATCCATTTAGTCATTAGCTTTATTTTCACTAAGGTGATGGAGAAGCAACTGTACCTACGAAGTTTTTTTTTTTAAATTCACATATTAATTCTATACACCTTAGTGAACAAACAATATCTTGAAAGAAACAAAAATAGTACCTTTGGAGAAGTTCATGGGGCATTATGACAAATATTTTGTGTGCCTCCTCCATTTTGATATTATGTGCTAAGAGTCCAATAAATGTTCCCAACATGTAAAAGTGTAAAAATGGAATTAAGGAAATTGAATTCAAAATCAATCGATATTCTAGTGGATCATTTATAAGAAATGTATTGAGAAGAAAATGAAATAGAGAAGATAAATTATGATTTAAACATGAGAAGAAAGATTGATATTTACGGAGTATAATTTTGAAAAATTCAAACTTAATAGCTCTACATACCATTATCCAAAAGCGAGCTTCGCGGGGTGAGTATAACCCTAGCAGGTCAGCATAACATACCTGCTAACTTATCACTTTTTTTCACCCCACTTCATCTATTTCCAATAACCACAAATTTAGGTAGGAGGTGACCTACAATTCCATCTTGTAGTCTTCCCATCTCAACTCCACAGCTCCACTTTTCTCTTTTGCTTTCTAGATTATCAAGTGTTCATCCTCATAAATGACATATGGACAAACAATAGGTGAAGTATTCTTCAGTGGCAAAAAGCTTAAGCTCTTATTAGAAAGAAAATGCTCTATTGACATTCAAGTATACTATAACAATTCAAAAAAAATCAAACTCAAAGAAAACCATTCCAGTCACTAATTACTAATCTCATATTTCAAGCTTATAAATAGGATCCCAACACAAATTAATGAATCTAGAGTTGAGTGATTTCCATCTTAGAAGCATAATACCTTCAATTGTTGTTTGGTTCTCCCTTGAACTTGTGAGAGCTTGTCTAAGCTTTGAGATTCCCTATCTCTTCAGATGGCATTTGAAGTCTGAAATAACACAATCGGACCAGTACTAAACTAAGTAGTAAGAAATGAAATGTTACCTGGGCTCTAAATTTTTTTAAGTCATTTCGTCGAACACACAGTGAGCATTGCTCATCCAAACCAATTCGTTTTCTTCAATTACAAAATCTAACATATACTTGAGTAAATATGTAAAATCGAAGAATAAAATGAAGATGAGGAAGTGGAATACCTGCAGCTAGTGGTCTTTCTCGTCACTCGTCAGAACCCATAGCCAGGGTTTTAACCGTAGGTGAAGGCTGTTTGACTCAGCCCTCTCCTACAATTTTTTATCAGAGATGGAGATGCACGATTCTTCTTACTGTGCCTTAACTTCTTCCAATTCTTTTTAATGAAGGAGATAGAGGATTGTAAGTGTAGTTCAGAAATCTATAACTGAGTGCGGAATCGGCTTAGCGCTATGAATCTAGAAGCTGTTGTGATAGAGAGAAGAATGAGAAGGTGACAGAGATGTCCATAGGGGAGAAGCTTACTTGATACGCTGGAGGAGAAGCTTACTGCTACGTTCCATCAAGCACGGGTTCCAAAATATTTTTTAAATACGGAGTATATGCAATTAATGTTTTTTTTTACAAAAGTTGGACTATAACCCTACCTAAAATAGGCCCATATGCAGTTGTCAGTCTCAGGCTCTCAGCCCATTTATTACGCCCGACCCATCGTATACCCAGCCCAATAATTTTGGCGGGAGTACTGTTCAAAAGTGCATCTCATTGATACAAAAAATTTTGAATTTTTTAAAATATTATAAAAAATTGAAAATAAATTTTAAAAACTTTTCTAGGATAGGTAACAAAGAGTTAACAAAAGAAAAAAAACCAAATAATAAATAAAAAATAATAAAAAAGCACGAGTACACCTTGTGGTTTAGAAATTAGGCACCAATGCACACTTCGCTGGAGAATGACTAGAAAATGATCAGAGCGGTGTGAGTGCAACGATTTGAAACCACGGAAACTTTAGAATTATGTTTTAAAAACAAATGGGGTATTTGTGTCAATTTTTGAAATCAAAAGGGCACTCGAGCTATTTGCCCATGAAATCATCCTGGATACGAGTAAAAAAATATGAAAATACTACTCCGTAAGATATGAATTTTAAGACTTTTAAGACCAAAATAAGAGTATAATGATAGTGTGGTGTAACATTATGCATTATAAAAAAGTGATGATAGTTTAATATGTTAATGTGATCAGTCAATTGCCGGTGATCCGCGACATTACTCTGTGGCCGGCAGAGACAGATGATAGTGTGACGGTAATAATGTGATAGTTACGATGTGACAATGTAGTAATCAGTGTAACTTCTATTTTCATAGATCTATGATTTCTATTTTGATATTTTCATAATTTTTTAATTGTACCTTCATTTCTCTGGCTGTCTTTGATTGAAAAAAACAATAATGCTATTTGTTCATAGAATATAAGTGCAATCGGTCCTGCTAGGGGTACACCACTTGGTGTACCCCAAATGAACACCATATACACCCCC